CATTTGCTAGCAAACGATTTTACGAAGGCTAGAGATAGATTAACAAATTTCTGCAATTAATGTATATATATAAAATGTTTCAAGTTAGTATACATGATGCAGTGCAACTTTGAAATGTGCCGAATTAAGTCTAAACCATTCATTACGTACAAAAAAGTTTAATATAAAAAAGGTTGCTACAACTATGGATTTTAGATTGTTTTGTTCTAATATTTGTCTGCAGGTGTCATCTTTGCAAACTTGATGCCCAAAGAAGAGTATTTTTCTATGTACACATTTGATACAGGTCAAAATGATCTTGTTGCTGGGCTTTTGGGAAACTTGACAATACAAGTAGTCTACGCTTCACTGCCTCAATTGTCAATAGTTTCTCAAAAAATGTTCAGGTAGTTCAATTGATACACTTCTTTCATATTTTATTATTGGATTTGTCTAAGTTATTACATGATTAAATAACCTCATTCAAGATGAAGCAGTGAAATTTTATCCATAAAAAGTTGATACAATTTTTTAATATAATGTAACCTCGTTACTCTACTTTAGATGGGACTATTTACATCATATCAAGAGGTAATTAGACAAATCCTTTATTACTTAGATCATTTATTAGTTTGTTAATCTAAATTGATGATCCTGGTGATCAAGAGCATATATGATTTGGAGCTAGATCATTTGGGATACACGACAAAGGACCCATTGGATGCCTATTTGTTTTAGTGATTGAGCTTTTTCATTGATGTAGAGGATTTGAGCATACACTAGTGGCATGCTGTGGCTATGGAGAGGAATAAAACTACAACAGTAGTGTTAGATGTGGAGGAAGCATCAATGTCAAATTTTTGTGGGTTCATTTGAAAGACCATTTGTTAGAGTGAATTGGGATGGATCCACTACAAACAGGCAGCTAACATGTTCATCTTTGATCAAATTTCTACTGGGGCTTTCTCAGAACCTCCCCTTCCCTTCAATATGGCATGTCACAAAAAATTATTAAAAATTATTGAGCTTGAATAGCTAATCAATGCAACAATTTTTATTAAAATTAAATATACAGCTATTTCCAATGGTAGGTATTTAAATTATATTATCATCTCTTTTGTTATAAAAATATATGTTATCTTTTCTTGAAGAATTAATATGCATTACATTTTAGCATATTTAAAATGGACAATCATTTTGGGGGTAATATTTCTAGGGCCATGTGTATAGGTAGGCAATTAAGATAATTAATTGCCTTACATCTGACTATCTTTTTTTTTATAGTTAATAGTCAATGATATATAATAATTATAACATTATCTAATTATAATATTCTCTCTTTTTTTATCCTCTTCTTATCTTCATATTCTTATTTTATTCTGTTGATGTGATATATATATATATATATATATATATAAAACAATAGAAAATCTCAAAAAGAAAGATGGAAATCTAAAAGAATTTTTAATATTTATACACAATAAAAAAGAGAGAATAATAGATGTATTAACATAGATAAAGGAGTTTAATAAAAATAAATTGAATGAATGGATGGTAAAAAAACAACATTTATACACAATAAAAAAGACTACTAATTGAGGCTTTAAATTGGTAGGAAAAATCAAGACAGTACTCCCACAATTTCGATCTAAGAGTATGCTCCCATCCACTAAACACATTTTTTTTTTCCTAATAACATATTTCTTGGCCCTTATTTTGAGTAACATTAGTTGCATTACTAACCCAAAACTTTTAAATTAAGTAAAGTTGGTGGCTTAATGTAACATTTCAGAAAGGATTTTGTTATTTATAATAGGTGATGGCAATCTATTTACCAAATGTGTTTCTTGTTATAATACAAATGAAAAAACCTTATTTATTGAGGGAAGAGATTCAACGAATAATAGACTTTGAGTGGTGTTGGATTGCTCATTCAACATTTGAGAAAGCATATTACATGCTCAAATTCTTTGTATTCTTTCATTGACTCTACCAATTTACAAGAATATTGATTATACTTTTAATATACTAAATACATTTTAATAATTTTGTTTAAATAATAAGGTGAAATTAATATCTATATTTATGAATAGTTGTTGACCGGTAAAGAAAGAATTGGAACCTTCTTGCAAATGGAGTCCGAACGGCTTTGGTTGGCCACCTGCTAGACGGTGTTAACTTTTTTTTTTATATCTATTAATTATTTTTTTACTTATTTGAAAAACTTATTACCTTTTAATCTTTCATATATCAAATACAATTTTATTTTAAAATTATTATGTAATAAATTGAAAATATAAAATTTAAAAAACCAAAAATATGAGAAGTCAAGAAACATATATACATACATGATATAAATGAATTTAATAAAAATTTAATGTAGTAATGAATTGAATTTTTTTAAAAAATAATTAAATACATGTGATAATTTTAGTAAAAGCTTTTACACTATTATAACAGCTATATAAAAAAATAAATTATAGCATTTTTAGGAATTAAAAAACTAAAAGTAAACAATTATAATTTATTCAATATATCATACAGATACAAATATGCGTTTTATAAATATTTGTTACAGTGAAGACGAATCAATAAAAAGTTTAATTACCTCAAATTTTAAGAATTGATTGATATAAGTTAAAAAAAATAAACAAACTGAATTATTAAAAAAAAAAGCTGACAAAAGTTACTATTGGCTAATAATTAGAGGTATTGCAAGTGAAATTTCCTTGTATGTATATTTATTTTACAAGGCAAAATTAATCATTGACATCCAATTTAAACATAAAAAAAATAGAAAAATTATTTTTCCATCAGATTTTCTTAAAACAAAATGTGTATGATATTTGTGAAAACTCATTTGATTTTAATTAATTTTTAATATTGAGATGCTTTGATCGGTGATTAGGGTCGAATATTTACCTTATTTACTTATACTTTTCCACATTCATTATTTTTTTTATGAATGAAATATGAGTATATTAATATGTATAAAATTTGTCCTGTTAAATATAATCTTGTGAAATTTTATGAGCTTTATTATTTCTTTAGATTGGCACTTTTAATTATTTAATCATGATTGATATTTTGGTTGTGATAATTCTTTTGTTTCCAATAATTAATCAATGATATCTATGTAGAAAAAATAGTAAACTTTCCTTATTTATTTTTTGAATTAGTATTATTTAATTACTAAAATATTATTAAATGAATAATAATATTGACTGTTGGAGTTAATGTTATAGTTTTAAAATTATGATAGATATTTATTATTAAGCTTTTGATGTGAATAACTCTAATGAGTTTGGCATCTCATTTATTGTCTGATTGAGAGGTTCTTTTTTTCAATTTGACAAGTAAGAAAATACTTTTTCTTTGAGTAGGGTTTTGCTTTTGTGCATATAGTTGTTAGATGATGGGTCTCTTATCTCTTTGGTAATTTTCTTTTGCGTTTGAAAATTCTAAAGAACGAGGAGATGGATTCAATTTGAAGACTCTTTTATTAAAGAAAATAGTCTTCCTATTAATTATTATTATATCTTCAAAACAAGTTATTTTATAGTATATCTAAATACATAATTAAAAGCATGTGAATTTATATTTATTTTAATTTTATTAGTTGTTATTTAACCTTGAATTTATTTTATAAATTTTAATATATTTTAAACACACTTAATATTATGTAAAATGCAATAAAAGGAAGTAAAAATTCACATTTGAATAACATTAAATATTATATAATCACTTTTATTTTATTATAACGGAATTTTACAATAAAATTTATTTTTATTCAATTTAATTTTTATTTTTAAACGTATATTTAAACTAGTATGGTAAATTATAATTTATTTATTAAATTAAAAATAAAATTTTTGCGATGAATTTATTTTAAAAATTTTAAATATAGATTATATAATTTTAAATTTTAATTAAATTTATTTTATCTTTAAATGTATATTTAAATTAATGTGAGAAATTATAATTTGTGTATTGGATTAAAATACAGAATTTTACAATAATTTTTTTGTAAAAAAATATAAATATAAATTATATATTATTTAAAATTTATTTTTAAAAAAAATGAACTCTACAAAATGAAATTTAACCCACACTTGTAGCTTAATTTTACGTGGAACGTACTATCAGGGTTAGAAAATTAAATGGCACGTGGTAACAAACAGTTTGGTCAATTGAAAATACCGCACGCTATTTCGTACACGAAATTAATTATATGCAGAGAAATTAAATTCTGACCTAAACTCATCACACTTACGGGCTCTATTTTATAAATATAAACTCCTCCTATGTTAAATATAAATAAATCTTAATTAAGGTAAATTTATATTATTTAGTAAAATTATATTTTAAATATTTTTATTTAATTTAAATTTTATTTTCAATAATTTTATTTTTAGTTATAAGTTAATAATTTTACACAACTTTCAAAATAAAAAGAGAAACATCTTTAAAAATAGTTATTAAATTTAATTCTCTTTTTAAGATGTTAAATGACTTTTACTTTTAGTATAAGAACTTAAATCATTAATTGATAATATTTAATATTGATAAAAATGTTAAATAATCTCAAATAACTTTAAAGGACATATTAAAAGATGTAGTTAAATGAAATTAACTAATTTTTAGTTGACATAATTAAAAATTTATTTGTGTCACATTACATTTAACGAGTGATATCATCATCTGTGTGATAGTTAATTAATAAATTCTAACATAAAAACTAAAATGAATGATAAGTTACCGATTATAAAACTAATTTTAATGCTTTCTTCTTTCAAGAAGTAAATTAAAATATCTTCTGTTATTGAATTACAGAAAATTTTAGCCATTAATAATACAAGTACTTTAACTGCTTTAAAAATAGAAATGTATGAGAGTAATAGCAGGAACTGGTTTCCATTTAGTTCTATTTCCAGTCTATCTTTGTGGTTGGCGCACGACTAACTATATATATATAATAAGGACCCGAACTTCCTTTGTTGTTTGCCAAATTAACATCTCTAATGGAGTTTCCTAACACTAGCAAGCTTCAAATCCCATTTGTGTCTTATATTGTGCTTTTATCAATTGTTACCGCAATACTGAACAACCCTGTAATAGCCACAAAAGAAGCTTGCAATTTCCCTGCCATCTTTAACTTTGGTGCCTCAAACTCTGACACTGGTGGCTTGGCTGCTTCCTTGTTAGCCCCTACACTGCCATATGGAGAGACCTATTTTCACAGACCCGCTGGAAGGTTCAGTGATGGCCGTCTCATTATTGATTTCATAGGTAACTTTATTTTTCCATTTCATGTTCAATTTACAAGTCAATATCTCATATGGGCCTTCTTTGTTTAACACCTCGCTTGGAAAATTGTAAAATATACTTTGATTGATATATTCATGTCTCTATCATTCATTTTCCTTTTTTTCCTTTTCTGTCTTTGTCCTTCTTCACCATCAATAAAGGATGGTCAACGCTTGCATAGTGATAGATCCATCAACCTAACTTTCACCAGCTCCCTTTAGCAAAAGATTTTATGAAACGTGCTACCATATATTAATACCAACCGAGGACTAAGATACAAATTATGAAAGGTATATATAAAGTAACAGAACTTTTGACCATGAACAATTTTAGAATTGTCATGTTAAGATACCTGATATTCACTTTTTTGGATTAAACCAAAATTAATTATATGCTCGAATTACTTATGGCATGTAGCAATTTAATTACCAGCCATATTATAGTCAAGTGGAAGGATTTGAATTCTAATTTTGTTGGATGATTTTGTTTTTCAGCGGAGAGTTTTGGACTCCCATATCTCAGTGCATATCTTGATTCTCTAGGGACCAACTTCTCTCATGGTGCAAACTTTGCAACAGCAGGATCCACAATCAGACCCGTACTAGGAAATATGGTACTCTCGCAAAGATTTAGTCCTTTCTACCTTGGAGTTCAGTTCACGCAATTCAGAGGTTTCAAACCCAGAACACAGTTTATTAGAGATCAAGGTATATAATAAGTTAATAATTTATTTTCACTGATATCTTTTGCTGATTAAAGGCATGGCTTTACCCCTATTTTTGTTTTAATTTTGTCTTGGTAGGTGGGGTATTTGCAACGTTGATGCCCAAAGAAGAGTACTTTGCTGAAGCTTTATACACATATGATATTGGTCAAAATGATCTAACGGCGGGCTTTTTTGGTAACATGACTCTGCAACAAGTCAATGATTCTATACCTGATATAGTCAATAATTTCACAGCAAATGTCAAGGTAGTTGAATAATGAATACCCTTCTTTGCTAAATTTCTAGTTAATAGGTTTCTTAATTTTATATTGTGCTAAATTGATGAAAGAAACTTTTGTGATGAAGAACATACACAACTTGGGGGGTAGATCATTTTGGATACACAACACGGGACCTATTGGTTGCCTCCCTTTAATTTTGGCCAATTTTTCATCTGCTGAAAGGGATGACTACGGTTGTGCAAAGGCATATAATGAAGTGGCTAAATATTTCAACCACAAGTTGAAGGAAGCTTTAGCTCAACTCCGAAAGGATTTTCCTCAGGCTGCAATCACATATGTAGATGTATACTCTCCTAAGTACTCTCTTTTCACCAACCCAAAAAAATATGGTAAGCCAAATTAAATTCACCCATTATTTTAATGATAAATATTTGAACAACTGCACTTACCTCCAACATGTGTTATATGGTATCCGTGTGATATGTGACCAGAATGTTTGGGAGATTACGTGTTGAACGATTGATTTACGTGCAGGATTTGAGGTGCCACTTGTTGCTTGCTGTGGGTATGGAGGGAAATACAACTATAGCAGTAGTGCTGCATGTGGAGGAACCATAAAGGTCAACGGCACTGAAATATTTGTAGGTTCATGTGAAAATCCCTCGGTTAGAGTAATATGGGATGGGACGCACTACACTGAAGCAGCTAACAAGGTTGTCTTTGACCAAATAGCTTCTGGAGCTTTCACCGATCCACCCATTCCCTTAAATATGGCTTGTCGTGGATATCTTAGGGATCGCCTGTGAGCTTCACGTGCTATCGTTGTACCCATTTTCGTAATTGGGATTACATCAAATAAAGTGCTTTTTTTTTTAAAGATTATTCACATGTTCAGTTTTGCTTTTGTTTTTTATTCTATAAATATTATATTTAAAACATTTAAATGTAATTTCAAAATCAAAATGATAAAAAGAAAAGTTTGGTTCTTTTTTTTTTCAAAATCAAAATCTAATATTCTTTTGGACATTTAATTGAAGGAAGAGGTTTATGCTGTAACTTTCATGTATAGTTATCAAAAGTGGGTTGGGCTTGATAGTTGGCTCGTCTAACTCACTCAGTTTGGTGGGTCACGTTAAATGACTTACATGACTCAGTTTATCCCATTTTAGTCTATTGAAACACGGCCAATAGCAAATCAAGCGAACTGGTCTATTATTAGATTCATTTTTTAATATTTTTATTAATTAAATATTAATTTTTATTATTATAAAGTATTTTTTTATCAATTTTAAGTGAGTTGAACTATTAACTCATTAATTTTAACTTTTTTAATTTTTTATCTTTGCCAATATAGTCTATTAATCCACCAACTCATCCATAAACGATTCGAATTAGAAAATATAGTTCATTTTTTAAACAGAGAATGACACAAACTTACAATACTTATCAACAAATTGCAAAGACAGAAAATGTCTGCTTAACATATTGATACTGATCTAACACAGTGGATTCATTAATTAAAGGATTATCTCTTAAAATATTACTAACTTAGTTTTTAGCGGGTCAAGAAGTAAAGTGACCTTTTGACATCCATACTTTTATGTGTATTTAGAGAATTATACTAAATTTAAAATTTAATTATAAATTATGTTTCAATTTTAACTTAAAGGATTAAAATATATTTATGTGGTCTCGACTCTCAAATTCGAGTTTTGTGTATACAAAAAAAATTTAGTAATAGACTCACTTATTAGATTTAGGTGTACGACCCGAGTTAATCTAAATTCAAACGAACAGGAAACTAAAAATAAAATTATATATATATTCATGTTTGAATGAATTTAACATCAATCCAAACTCACACCATAATAAAGTTATTAAAGAGGAACACAACAATAATGTTTTTGAGAAAATTAAATACAAAAAAAATGAAAAAAAGCTAATAACTAAAAAAATTAATTAATCTATTTTAATTATATAATGCTAAAGATATTTAAATCTAGAGCTTTTCCCGGAGTTACTTTATCCTTTTGTATCTACTTGAGGATTGTATTAAATGGAGTAGTTTTAAAATTAATATTTCAAAATATGTTTGTAAATTCTTTATAGAATTTTTGACTTCATAAAAAATGTGTCCCTATTATGGATATACCATTCACTTTTTTGCTACTAAGGTCTCTAGTTCTGTATTTTCCTGTCTTCACATCTAATTAGGGTATTCTTAATGATATTTTAAATTGTCTTCTCTTCAAGACGGAGGCAAGAATGACACTCTAACAATTAAGTAAATACTTAGTGCAAAGCAATAAATACTATTTAATACTTTTTTTTCATCATTTTTTTACTTGTTTCTCTTATTTTTCTTTCATAAACAACATATTGGACCTGATGGGCTTGATAAGTTAGTCTTAAATTAACTACCTGATAATTCAAATAATTAATTTTTTTCTTATTACTTACTTAACTTAATCATAATATTAATTTATTTTAAAGTGACTAAAGAGGTTGTTAGCATTTCTCGTCCAAGGATGAGACTGAAGGATTTGTTGGTACCTTTCGTTCAAAGTTAAAGCCAAAGGAGTGGTTGATACCCTTCATCCTAAAATGAAACAGAAAGAATGGTTGGCACACTTCGACTAAGAGTCAGGCCGAAGGAGTACTCAGCTCTTTTCAGTTTTGGCATTCTTCGTCTAGGAATAAAGCTGAGAGAGTATTCAACTATTTTCGATTTCAAAAGTGACCGAATATGGTCTTATTTGATATAATATCTTTATAACTTCTCACCATTTGAATCAACAGAAATTAGTTTTTGTTAAAAGCTAATTTTAAATATTAAAACTTAAGGAAACACCAAACTCCTCATTGTTATAAACAAGAAAAAACAAAAGGACCAGCATCTTACGACCACGGCTGTAGAGGTTTGTAAAACATGTAACATACTCGCATAAAAATAGGTAAAGCGCTCGTTGGGGCTTATAGCATAATTTATATCAGATTACATTTATTTATTAAATAATTTGTGTAATTTAAAAAAAATTATTCAAGTTAAACAATTTATATTTTGAATTATTTAAAAATCTTTAATAATAATAATAATAATAATAATAATAGAGTTAAATTTTGTCAAACATTTACACTTTTTTGTAACTTTTCATAAAATATTAACTTGGTCCAAAAATTCTTATTAAATAGATTATTTTATAAAATTTTATAAAAAATAAAAATAAATAAATAATTTATGTATTATTTTATTTTAACAAGTAATATATTTTTAAAATATAAATAAATATTAAATTTTAAATAATATATTTACAAATCTTAAAAAAATATAAAATTTAATATATATAATTATAAAATAATATAAGATTCAACAGTTGAATAAATCAATTTGCATTTTATAAAATTTATTAAAAAATATATATGTTTAAATTTAATACTGATATAATAATAATTTAAAATTTTATACTTATTTTATTTTTCAAAAATAGTCATTATTTTATTTAAAAGATTAACTCTACTCATTTACCGGTATCATATATATAAGTTTAGATTTATTAACTTATTTAAAATTAAGTTTTTGACCTATATAAGAGATTTTATTATATAATAAAATTTTAAATAAGTTGATGGATCAAGACATATTTTTAAAAATATTAAGATAGACATTAAAATTTAACACATATATAATAAATAAATTAAATTTAAAAATTAAGTACCAATGAAAGTTGGTCCAAATGATAAGCGGCTCGGTATTACTTAAGCAATGTCTTGAATTTGAGTTTTTGTATATGCAAAATATTTTCAATAGTATACTCACTTATCACGCCCACATGCACAACTTGGGTCAGGTATTAAACCAGAAGTCAAGTTTTTACTGCACCACTAACATGATTATTAGGAAATATATATTTTATACAGAGAAATAATATTTGAGAGTTAGATTTTAAAAAAGAAGAAATAGAAGAATAATTTTTTATTTCTAATTAATACTCTTTAATTTTATAATTTTTAAATAAAATTCATAAAAAAATAAATTTTAATAAATTTAATGTATTAATATTCTTTTAATTTTATAAATATTATATAGCCCTTTAATGTCCTCCTTTTCTTTTCTCTCGACAATTCAACACGCCAACATACCTTTAAATGTATTTTTAAGATTTAATTTTTATGTTTTTCAAATTAAGTATTTAATTTTTAATTTAATCTTACTTTAAAATTTGTTTTTTATAATTTTTATTAAAATTTTTACCCATATTTAATTAAATATAAATTATATTTATTAATATTAATAATATAAAAATATTTATATATTTTTATAATATAAAAAATAATTGATCTCATTCAAATTGCTTTCAATCTTTGGCTCTTATTTTTTAAATTTTACGATTTGCATTCCCGAATAGGGAATATAAAGAAGTTGATTTAAGTGAAATATAACATAATAATATTACAAATAAGCTATTCAATCTTAAGATCAATATAAAATCAAAACAAATTTAAAGTCTAAGTTATTTGAACTTAATTTTAACTTCTTCTTTTTTTGTTTTTTAAATTTAACTTCTGTAATTTATTTATGATTTTTTTCTTCATTAAAATTAGTTGTTCAACTATATTTTAACTACTGATTTTAATATAAGTAATAATACATTTTTTTCTGTTATATTATCTTTTACAATTTCTTAAGTTTATAGTAATATTTATTGTATTATTATTACTTTTAACAAGTAAAATAAATGATAATAAATTTTAAATTTCATTAAATATTTTTTAAGATATGTGCTCAAATAAGCATTTAGATGTACTTAATTGTCCTTATTTTAAGAAAATTAATACTTTGCAACTTTTGTAGAAAACTTGAAAAGCGTAATTATTTCCAAAATTAAAAGGTAAAGAAAGTATTAGTCAAAATATGTTAATCAGAAAAATATATACACTAACTTAATAATTACATCATTGATGCAATTCAAGAATAAAAAATAGTTTAGAATTTCAAAAAAATATTAATAAAATAGTTGATAATATTATTTATATTTTATGATATACGATTGGTTATATTAAACATTACGCTGTCAAGAATGGCAGTATCGAAAGAGTAAAAAGAATTTATTTTTGAGAAAGATAACAAACATAAAATAACATTAAAAAATATTTTATAATAAATCATTTAGTGAATTGTCTCTCTATATTTTTTATTTTAACCTCACTAAAATGTTCAATTCGATTATTTTTTAAAAATATTTATTATATTAAAAAAATGATATATAATGAATCATTTATAATAAAGTAATGTTTTACACTAAATTTTTTTATATTCACACAAATTATATGCAACTCATGGATTTTTTTTTGTACTAGTATTAATAGATAATTTCATTAAAGTAATATATAATTATAATTTGATAGTTGAATTAATAAAAATTATATTTTATATAAAGTTATTGATGATGCAAAAGTGACTGTAATATATATATAAATTGGATCTTCTTATACCAATGTAAGTTTAAAAACTCTTACACCCAATTTGAGTCTTTCATTTAACTTAAATCTAATGGTCAGTAAAGTAATAAATTATAACTAGTTAAATTTAAGTTAAATAAAAGACTCAGATTGAGTATAAGAGTTTTTAGACTTAGTAAAAAGATTCTTTCATATATATATATATATATATATATATATATATATATATATATATATATATATATATATATATATATATATTGTCGCTACCAGACGGTTGCAACGGTACGACAAAAAAACTTGTTTAACAAAAACATCTTTTAAAAAATATTAGAGGAGTCGTCAT